TAAGGCAACAGGCTAGAAAGTAGCCTTTATTTACCAAAATTAAGCTTGAGATTTAAATATATCTGAATATGTTGCTTATTTTAAGGAACACTGGCCAGTTAAACTTCATTCGAATCTGAGGCTCTTTTTTATGCTATTGCAACCATACTGAGTCTTAGCTGGCACATGGCAGAAAAATCAAGAAATAGAAGAATATCAGAGGAATAACCAAAAGTATCATAAGGACTTTGTCTATAACAGGGGTAGGCAACCTTGGCTCTTTTATGACTCGTGGACTTCAACTCCCAGAATTCCTGAGCCAGCCACGCTGAGGAGAAAGGGAGAGGTTTCCATGCTGACCCAAGCTGGCTCAGGAATTCTGGGAGTTGAAGTCCACGAGTCATAAAAGAGCCAAGGTTGCCTACCCCTGGTCTGTAGCATAAAATATAAGCTATTATATTTTATATGGTTTATTATGTGTATGCATGTCAGTATAAATACAATTGGTCTCAATTGTGGTCGTAAGCTGAGGGCTACCTATATTTTGGAAAAATATAACAGAATAACAGAGTCGGAAGGGACCTTGAAGATCTTCTAGTCCAGCCCCCTTCTCAAGGCAGGAGACCCTATACCAGGGGTGTCAAACTGCCGGCCCGTGGACCGGATGTATCACGCGGAAGCTGTACCCACCCCAGCTTCGGCAGGGGGGAAAAAGTCGCAGTACCCCTGCCCTATAACATCCCGGTCCAGTGGAATCATATGTCTCACTTTGCATTTTGGTTTAGCCCTGTGTGTGGCTACCCGTTGACCGACATTTTCTTATATATATAAATTTTATTGGTTTTCCAGTTTTACATTTGAATATTTGGAAAGTAACGTGGTAATTGGGTTAGTCAAAAATTCAATAACAAAATCTTTAGTACATATCTCAGGTTACATCATCAAATATTTCTTCTCTGCTTCCCTTAACATTTGCTATATCGTATTTAGGCTAGTAAGTTTCTAATTGTATCAAACTCAGTTAAAACTTCATTATCACATTTATCAATACATTTTTTGCATATCCATATCCTGTTTTTAAGTTTTACCTAATTTTTAGCTTTTAATTACAAATTAATTATAAATTAATTATAAATTAATCCAATTTAACCTTTAATATCCAAAGTATTTAAGTTTCGGGTAATCCAAATTTCCTTTGTCTCACTACATAAAACTTATAAATGTCTAAAATGCACATATTACTTACTTAAATATATTCTAATTTTATTTCATAAACGTCGATTGACCAACATTTTCTAACATTCTTCCCTTGCAGGAAAGGTGCTCCAGGCTACGGTGC